ATATCTTCTTTGAGATCTGTTTATGGTTCATGACCAGAATGGACCTCTTTAACTACGTGATTTACTTCAAAATAGGAACAAAGAGAAGATTGTGTGAGACCACTACATATAGACTATTGGCAGAATGACCGGTTATTTGCATTTCAGATCATACTATGACTTATCATCAAATGTCTGTCTTGCATAAACAATTAACTGATAAAATGGCAACCAACATTACTTCCTAACTGTGTTTTTTTTGTCATAGCTCTAATATTCAAATTGCGATTATTCTATAATTGTTTCGTGCAGTGTATTTCACATAAAGGCCAATGCCAAATATCAAGTACGTGGATTGTAGTCATCTGCTAGTGTTAAATCATTAGTCAAGATCATTTATAATATACAAACATAAGTCATAGTCAGTTACCAAATTTAAGTCAAGTGTTATGTTCATTTACAAACCTAAAATGCAGGGTTGCATAACAGGGACATAGGAAATGATCATTTAAACATTTCACAAACCATTCCATTGGTATAATTCCAAAGATTAGGGTCATATACTAAATTCAGCATCACAAGTATAGTTATTCAATGAATCTAATCATCATAGACCAACCGTTATTTTTAAAATGTCAAAATCATGATTTACTATAATTCTATCAACAGAAATCTTAGGTTAGAGTGCTTTACTAAATGCTAGTTTCGCAACTAAAGTATTTTTTTTATTTTTTAAGTATCAAAGACATAAATCAGGATCACCTCTAAATTCAAAGTGATGGTTCGTGGTTAATGTATATATTTTAGCTTAAGATGCCTTTTTGAATATCAAGCACATAAATAAGGATTACTTAATAAATTCAAAGTCGTAAACTAGAAGATTTTACTAAATGTCGTCGTCCAGGATAAGTGTGTACTGAATGACAATGAAATATGGATGATTTACTGAATTCAAAGATATACACTACTTGAAATAATTATGGCAACATTGGATAAAAGGATATAAAATACAAATATTGTGTGAGAGCTCCCCTTCTATCGTTTCAAAATGAGCTGTAACAGGGCAGTCACATGATGATAGCTTACTCTGGTATTCATTAACAGAGTGTTAATGTTCTTATAAAAGTTTGTTTATTTCTTGAATTTCGCACATTAATATTGTATTGGTCGAGCAGCAAACAAACTACTTGGTTGGATTGTGGTAGACAATACGTGAAATTGGATTTTACAATGATACAGTGATAAAATTATAGTAGTAAAAGACAGGTATACTCGCTGTAAGAACAAAATTCGGAGTCACTTACAAAATTTCAAAATTATAGTTTAGACATAATAGGTTAAAATAAAAACAATATATTTCTTTTCATTCCAAAAAGTGCTAAAACGTAATATTGTGGATTGTCTAGATCACAGATGGCAGGCTGAGTTTAAAATAATACATTCATTTAGCTTATTTATTTTCGAATACTCTTTGTAGTTTAGTTTCAAATAAGTTCTACAATAAGGGGTGAATATAAAAGTTCATACTGAGTACCAATGGTCTTCTTGCAGTGTTACTTCCTTTGAAAAGACACGCTTAGTTCAATAATCCCTTACCTCTTTCTTCTGCTAAGTCTCTAGCTATGTGTTTTAAACAAATTGTGTTCATAACGAATGGTATTCATTAATAGAGTGGAAATGTTCGTAGTAAAGTAATGGAATATACACCACTGTATATTTTAAACAAATTGTGTTCATAACGTATGATATTCATTAATAGAGTGGAAATGTTCGTAGTAAAGTAATGGAATATACACCACTGTATATTTTAAACAAATTGTGTTCATAACGAATGGTATTCATTAATAGAGTGGAAATGTTTGTAGTAAAGTAATGGAATATACACCACTGTATATTTTAAACAAATTGTGTTCATAACGTATGGTATTCATTAATAGTGGAAATGTTCGTATTAAAGTAATGGAATATACACCACTGTATATTTTAAACAAATTGTGTTCATAACGAATGGTATTCATTAATAGAGTGGAAATGTTCGTAATAAAGTAATGGAATATACACCACTGTATATTTTAAACAAATTGTGTTCATAACGAATGGTATTCATTAATAGAGTGGAAATGTTCGTATAAAGTAATGGAATATACACCACTGTATATTTTAAACAAATTGTGTTCATAACGTATGGTATTCATTAATAGAGTGGAAATGTTCGTATTAAACTAATGGAATATACACTATCGTTTTACGATTGCTGTGCAGATTTTTCTCTAGCGCTACAGATTTGCCAATGATAATTAACATCTACAATCAACTAGTCTGTCAAACTCAATACCCATAAAGTGTCGATATTTTTTTACCCCCACTGTTTAGAGCTGTAGAAAGAGTTATGTTTTGTATTCACTATATTTCTACTGGATCTTTATGGTAACATTTCTTTATGTCCAATAAGTTTGGCCACTGTAGACCTGAAACTGGGATCGATTGTCTTATATTTTGAGTAATGATTACAAAAAAGTCTTAGAAATTTTCTAAGCATAGTTTTATTTTCAGTCAAGGGGAGAATTAAGTGTGTGTGCTCCAACACATTCTAACTACATTTTGGGCATTATAAACGGTGTACTTAGGCTTAGTGCTTTAATGTTACAGCATTTGTTCTGAATATTTTGGTGTTTTTCGTATATTCGAATAGTAAATAATGATTGAGCACATAACTATTTCTTCAGTTTCTTAATCTTCTCTAAATTGTGTTATTAGTGCGTGTATTGAAAACGAAAATTGATTGAGAATCAGAAAGTATCTTTTGGTATGTTCTATATGAAAGAATGTTAATAAAAAAGCTAAATACTTCAAACCATTAACTGAAGTATTGATTCTTAATAGACTGTTATAATAATTTACCATCGATATTTCGTCAATACATCAGCAACTGTTTAAGTTAGAATTAGAGTTCTCAACCATGTTATTTCTTTGCTAAGAAAATTCTTTCAATCTAATTGTATAATATTGTAATAGTACACGACGTAAGGAAAAATGGTAATTTAAGAAACGTGTGTTAGGTAGATGGATATAAAAAAAGACTATTTAATTAATATCTTAAATTTCTTTGGAATGGGTAATGAATGTATTAAAACAAAAACTATGAAGAAACCACTTCTTACAAACACTTTGATAGCCACTTATAATTCTGCGAAGACATGGCTTAGTTCTTCCTTTTTTTATATATTTAGAATAAGCAATTGTTCCACATTTTAATTAATTATGTATTCACGTAACCGAAACGAAGATTATTAAGTCCTTTCTCCAGTGACTGCAGGTTCACGAATTCCAAGTCCAGGCAAAATTGATAAGTTGTTTTCTTAAAGAAGCCATATGACTACAACTAGAAAAATGTCAAAATATTGCATACACACGGGAGAGAAAGTTCAGAGGTTTTAATTAAAATTCTTAAGTAAGAGAGAGATGTTCACCTAATCTTGTGGAATCGGTAAAACCATAAGAAAATTGTAATATAAATAGAAATTACTGTGTTAATAGAAAAAATGAAAGAAACAGAAATATCATGGAATTTTCTATAATACAAACTACCAATTTAAAGGATGTCGAAAATATTTTTTTTTAAAAATGATTAAATATTTTCTACAAGCTTATCAACATGATAAAATACTTCATTAATGCGTACAGACTGAGAGGACAATGAATATCAGTTATTTCATGCTTTGCAGTCATGTATTTAGTCTCAAACTTCTTACAGAACAATGTACTAAAATTGGTTTTGTAGCTTCTCACTCAATAATGTTTTAAAATTGGTTTGGTAACTTATTTTTCAACAATATACTAGAATTCGTTCCAACAATATCCAACAATATCCTGATATACTACTTTACCCAACATTGTATTAAATATTCATCGCAAAAATCTTGTTTTAATGTTATTTAAACATGGATGTATTAACATAAAAATAAGTTTACAGGCTAAAGTGCCACGTTAAAATATAAGGTTTTATTATCCAACAAGCTTTCCACTTTTTTTTTTTAAAGAACTGGAAAGCTGTGGGTTAATAAAATCTTATATATTAACGTGATATTTTAGCCTGTAAGTTTATGTTAAAGTTAAAGAATCTTATTTGGAAACCTTTTACCAAACAATGTAATTAAAAAAATTCTAACCAACAATGTAATGTAATTTTACAGTAAAGTTTTTGCATCTTTTCTTATGCAATAACTTTGTATCCAACTGTTATAAAGTCCCCCAGTGACCCAGCAGTAAGTCTGCAGGCTTAAGATGCTAAAATTTGGGTTTCGACGCCCGTAGTAGGTAGAGCACAGATAGCCCAGTTTGTAGCTTTGCGCTTAACAACTACCAAACTAAAACAGTTATAAAATTTGTTCGATGATATATATTTCCCCCAAACTAAAATGAAACTTGTTCGATAGCTTCTCCCCCCCCCCCAAAAAAAATTAATACAATTTGTTAGAAAATTCTTATTTAACAATTTGGTTTGAAGATAGCAGCAATGAAGCACTTTTCGGGCAATCATTACACAGCTTAAAGTATATTATTGTAATAAATGTACGTTCTGTACACTTATTTTATTTATCTGCTTGCTGAATAATTCAGAATGTTTCCACGGAAATAACAACTAAAGGAGCAAATCGAAAATATACTGTTGTATAAAACCACTTTCAAAGTGGAACAATAGTAAAAGCTTTTTGCCGATACAAATTTAGTTTCTCGACGTTTCAGTTTTTTAGTCACACTGCATTGATTTAGATTTTCGAAACTATGGTTTTATTTTTAAAAGTACGTTCTGTTTGTGAGGTTATTTGCATTTTGATAAAAAATACTAGCAATGATTCCTTACTTCATATATATATATAACTAAATTCGTATAAGTTTCCACCTATAATACATATATTAGTATTAACGCAAAATGAGAATGTATTTCTGTATTTGTTTACCGGTATGTTATGTTAGTGTAATTCCTTACATTAAAAATGTATCCATATCCCGATTTCTAGGTTAAGTAATCGTTGCCGTGACAAAAGAAGGAGTTTCCGAGATTGTATCTTACTATAGAGAATGATGGCCGGTGCTAAAATGTTTCCAGGCTGTCGTCGTCAGGTAAAACTTTTTGTACGTTTGTGCTTAACATTAGTTGAGATTCCAGTACATTCAAAAACCCGAAAGGCTGAAACCTTTGCGTATACAGATTATTTGGGACATGAAGTTTAATTCAAAAACTATCTTTAACGAAATTTATTTTTATTAACCGATTAAATGAAAAAAAAATGCCATAGATAAAAAGGATGGTTACTAACAAGAAAAACGTCAATGACATAATTGGTCTTGTGGGTCTCTCTTCACCTTCTATGTCTGTGTTAAGTTTTTAGATAGTTGTGATCTATTTTTCACATTCTATATCCATGTTAAATTTTTGATGGTTTAAATCATTTTTTCACGTTCGATGTCTGTTTAACCTCTTTTTTTGTAGCTTTTTTTACATTTTATATCTATGTTAACTTTTTAGATAGTTGTAGACCTTTCTTCACGTTCTGTATCTATGTTACCTTTTTTAGATAGTTGTGGCATCTTTTCTCGCTCTATGTTTGTATCAGTTCTTAAGTAGTTGTGGTCTCTTTTCACGTTCTATATCTAGTTTTTAGATAGTTGTGATCTTCTTTTCACGTTCTATATCTAGTTTTTAGATAGTTGTGATCCTCTTTTCACGTTCTATATCTAGTTTTTAGATAGTTGTGGTCCTCTTTTCACGTTCTATATCTAGTTTTTAGATAGTTGCGATCCCCTTTTCACGTTCTATATTTATTTTAAATATTTAGATAGATATGGATCTCTTTTCAAGCTGCATGTCTGTATAAGTTTTTAGGTAGACAGTCCGAAGCAGTGTAAATCAAATAAACCAAGATATTTCAGCCTAGAATATTTAAACTATTTTGAATAGAGAGCCGAAAACGTGCGCATACTGAAACGAATGTTCTAGAATATATTAAGTTCGAAATAGTTCAGCTGCTGTGAATTCGCGTTCATTAAACGAAGTCAGATGAACAACTTTTCAATATTTGTATGTTATAGGTATCTACTGTGTGCCTGCATAAATAGTTACTTATTGTATGGGTTTCTCTTATGATAGAACATCTTCCCGTCACTTTCAAGATATGGTAGACTCTTCCCTAGAGAAATACTCCGCTTTCTCCTGTTATGTCGTCCCTTTGTTCATGTACAGCAGTGCTTGCACTCTAGCATACTAAATTTTAAGTTAATCATTTTTAATGCCTTACAGACATATTTATTTAGTATGTGCAACTCTGCAATGACTTTGAAATAATATTGTTACTGATTGCACGTTTTAACATTCAACTAGCATTTTGTCTAGATGGGGTTTTGAGTCCTTTTTAACTCACTGTATAGTAACCTAAATTAATTTATGTGTTTGAATAATATTATGGCATTGTGCCAAGTATATTATTTGGTATTATATAGTGGACCAACTGTTTAGTGGTTATATTAGATTTCTTTTATTTTCACCAAAGGTAAAATTGAAAAGAGAATCTGTGATGTAGTGGCCTAATACATTCTTTGATCCACCACACTATTTACTATGGTCTGTAGTTTCGCTTATTCAAGGCTCATCAGTTTGGAGAGCCTTCAAAGGACTACGTCCCTTCTTCAACCTAGAAATGAACGTGGCTATGAAGTACGTGAAAAAAAAGGATGACCAGTAGAGGCAGAACCAGAAGAAGCATATCGTTTGGATAAACGATGAAAGTAGTCAGGAGATCAACACATCAGTCCTCGGGGAAGACCACTCCAACAGTCTTCAGGATAAATGTAGTCTGGTCAACTTGGTTGTGATAAGGTATTACGACCGAGATAATCCGGTGGAAGCAACATTACACATAGGTTCAATAAATGATCAAGTGAGGTTAAGACTTTACGATGTGGTTCTCATCGGCATGGAGAGCAGAACGGCAAATATGAAATTTTGATTCAGAAAATAGAAGTGAACATATCGGGTTCGAAGTCGCGGAGGTGGTAAAGAATCGGCGGGAAAGAGATCCAATATAGGACTAGGTAGGTTGAAATGACGTTCCCGTATTTGGAGGCGACAATAAAATTGAATAGAAGAAAATAGCTAGGCAGTGTGGCTGTACGTAAGACAGGGGCGAATGAAAATCTTATATGAATACAACAGAAGGGATGGATTCAAACCCTACATAGTACCTCATAACTAGCGGACGTGAGTAACTTTCTGGTTGATATCTGAGCGTTTCAGGTAAGGTTTCTTGTCAAAACGAAAACCTAGATTCTTGGAGATTTCAAAAAGCTGAATTTGAACACCATTAACTCGGACATCAAAGAGAAGCGGATTGCGACAGGGACGAAATTCATGTCGAGTAGAACCAAGAATTTTTGTTCTTGTTTTGGGAAAGACGCCAGCGACGGCGCCAAACGAATGTTCAACTGTGGATATTGATGTCAGCCATAATAAGATAGCTATGAAAAGAATCATCAACAATATGAAAGAAATCAAAAGGAAGCAAATGGTTGCGATAAACATAAATAGTAATGAATGTGATCATGCGACAAGGTTAGCAAACTGTGACAGAAGGAAAATGTATCAGTACAGGAGATGAACATTGCTATATATTACAACTCCACCACGACTGATACCATATGGATGGTCACAATGATGAAATGTAATTCCTCGTAATTTAGCAAGCTAGATTGGTCTCGGGGAAATGTTATTGAGGGGGATACAATCCTAACAAAAACCTCATCAATCAGTGGTTTACTGGCAAAGAAGGAGCAGATGTTTACAAATAAATAGTTCAGGCCAGTGTAATCCCATAAACGAGTAAACTGAAAGTGAGAGGTAAGACTAGAGTACGTAAATTACATATGTAATTGAAACAGTTTTGGTGGCATAGTGGACAGAGTTGAGAAAAAATTATCATTGAAATGGATGAAGATTTTAAAGTGTGAGTGTGATCATTTGGAGGATGTCTTCAATGGTGAGAAGTGAAATACCTACATTGGGAGGAGGCATGATGGAATCAATAGTATCCACAGAAGCAGCAGTGGTAAGGTCATCAGGTGAGGTGTACGTTTATAAGTCTCACTTATAAGAGTAGTTTGGATGACTTTGCACACATGTATTGTAGAGAGAAGGTAAATCCAGTTATGTGCAGTGACAAACCAGATGAGGGCTACGACAATGGGATCAGATAGGTTTGTTGAGACACTTATCAATGGGATGGGAATTACACGTGAGGCATTTCTCACATCATAAAGGGTGTGGAGGAGGTGTCTGGGAAGTTTTCACTTGTAGGTAGATGTAAGTTCCATATCAAAGGAGATTATCAGTGACATCACTACTGTCAGCCAGAATCTGGATCATATAAGTTGGGTCATGTGCATCAACAATCCAAATATTCCATTGTCTTTCTCCATTATAGTTGGATAAACACCAAAAAGAACAAAGGAAAACAATGGTGATTAATGAGGTGTGGGTCGCTGTTTCAATGTAGGGGAGCCACGGTTTTGTTAGGTAGTGTTGGGCCCTAAATTAGCAAGCCCCATCTTGGTACAGAGAAGGATTAACAATTTTAACAAAGACACCATTGCAGGTGGGAACAAGTTGATGAATATCTATCTGCACGAGTAAAAGTCTTTGAGATCTGCAGAAAAGTTGAACATCCATGTTAGAGACGATAAACACTTAAAGTTATGGCATTTGACTTATATCCATATGTGTAGATGGTAAAGGATCAATAGACGAAGAGGATGCGGGAGTTGGAGTCATGGGAGTAAAAGTGCAACGACGGAATGAAACTGTACAGTCATCACTTAACGACTTGGAAGTCTCAGCAGCATATACCAGAGAAGAAACATTGGGTGTAGGTACTGTAGGAGAAATTTTAGGAATATCAAAATCCAGAGCAGAAACAGGCAATGCAGGAGCACTATATGAAATTGTTTTCCTGAGGTCAGGGCCGGGTCGAGAATAAGGCCTAGAGCGTTTATGGGTAGAAGGTTTTCCAGAAGGTTCTGAGACTCCAGGCTGCTTCATTATAGTGAATAGTTCGGAATGCATCCCGAAGACCGAATGAATATTACACACCAAATAGTAAAAATCAACTCAACACAGAAGTAAAGTAAACCCTAACAACCGTAACTCAAAAGCTTAACTCACCAAAACAAATATCCAAACTACAAGAGTTGGCAAGCTATGCTGATGAGCCTTGAATAGGTGAAAATGCATTTCACAGCAAAGGATTCAGCAAATTAAAGAATGCACTAGGCCTATACGTCACAGATTATATTTTCAAATTTACCTTTAGCGAAAAGAAAAAAATACATACAATCATTAAAGAGTTGCTCCACTGTATAATATCGAATAATAAATTAGCCAAAATTCCATAATATTATTTACACATCTACATTTATTTAGACTACATATATGGCGACTTAAAATAGACTCTAAAACTCGTAAGTAATACATACGCATTATCATAATAAGAGGACTTATTGTATTTCTTTGGTTTGCTGACCCAAATTGCGCTAATGAGCCTTGAGTAGGTGAAACTGTAGTCCACAACAGAAGGTGTAGCCAACCAGTGAATGTGTAAGATAAATTTATTCTATAACAATAAAGTTCAAAATTACTGCTTTCCAGATACATTTACTTCTGCAGAGATGAATACACAATCGTATAATAAACCTGATACAAATATAATCATTTCTGAAACCTCTTATTTAAGAGTTCATGCAAAGCAACGGTTACAAATCTCCTCCCACCTACTTCCCTCAATAATAATATATATTTATCTATACTAAATATAATACGATTGCAGTAGAAAGCTATGCTTCCACGTCGACTATTTAGCAGTAAGTAAGTTTCTAGAGTAACAGGTTTCTTATCACAATGCTGGAGCTCTAATTATTACTACTTAAAACTTTGCAGACGCGTCAATGTTAACGAGCATTCTAAAGCTTTCCATATAGTTAATGTGTGCTAATTTCTGGGAGCTGGAAAATCGAATTTCTACTAACTGTAAATATAATACGTTTCCACGAGGCTTAATGGATTCTTTAGGTTTATA